TCAGGCGGGGGCAGTTGTTTGGCATATTCTGAGATCCAATCCTCTAACTCTTTAGTGTATACTGGAGGTATGGCCACTTTGCTATTCCGTGAAATCGCCGTGCTGATGTCAATAATGATGGTCTGTATTCTTTTCAGTTTGTCTGTGTATTCGTGCTCTGATTCATTGGCATATTCCCTGGCTAAGCTGGAAGCCAAATAATCCCCATCTCGTGCCGGTATTTAAATGGAATGAGCCCATACCCAATGTAGCTGAGTAATTCTTCTGCAGCCCCGATGGCACTGAATATTGGACTGTCCTTGGGCAATGCTTCCCCCGTGATCGTTTTCGACGTGCCATTATCACCTTCTCTGCTGAATATTTGGGGACAGGGCGCATTGCTAGCATTGTCTTTAGAAACTCCTGCATTATCAGTGCTGAATGAGGAAACACAAATGTGACATGCTGCTTATTTTCATTGATATTCACTTGCCTTCCTTTGCTGCAGTAGTTGCGTAATTGGTTAAAGGACCCACGATTCAGAACTCTTCGAAAAACCATTTTTTGGGAGATTCTAGCAACTGACCTAACCTAAACTGCTCGTTTACATGATTGACAACGACAACTATCAAAATCACATGTTTTCGCGATGATGCCGATCTCAAAATACATGGTGATTCAAAATTTGCGTCATTCGTTTTAAGAGATCACTTGGAAGGTACGAGAAAAATATTGAAATTTTTTTTTCGATAATTTCTAGAAGATATTAACAGTTGAAAATCGAATTCCAACTTTGTTATTAAGCATTATTTTGAAAGTGTTTCATGTTTAATTGGAAGCATATTAGAATACGCATTAATTAAGCATTCAAAAAGAAAAATTACGATCTTTGCTTCAAATTACGAAAATTTTTGATATTCAAAAAGTTATCTTCTACAATTTTTTGATTAAAAGTCTGAGCGGCAATGACGCACTTTCTCCATTTAGCAATGGTTACCAGAGTTTTAAATAATTACGAGGCAACCATGATACAATTAATACAAGGTAGGATCTTGCGTCGATTTGCGTGACGTCAGTGAAAATCACTGCGTTTCGTGATTTTTTCCTGTCTGCTTAATGTGATTAAATATAGCTTATTTAGTCTTTGTCACATTTATTTATTTTTTAATAAATCTTCTTTATAATTACAAAATACTTTGCAGCAGGTTTTAAACCTGAAAATGAAAAGCATGCCAGATGTGCAATAAAGTATAGCGTTTGTTTTTGGGAAGTACCCCAAAAGTTCGAATTGCAAATTCCTCTTATAATCATCATTTTTGAAATGCTGAGGCCATATTCATATTCGCACAACAAGGATTCTCCTATAGCTTGCACACGTTCTACAGTAAACTTTCCAAACGCATTCACCCCATGATTTAATGAAATCATTGAATGATACAATGAATTTATTGTTTCGTTTGGCTCTACCCGATGCAAACCATATCCTCATATAACTTTCCATTTTTGAACTATTGCGTTTTGAATTCAATGAGATTTTGTCTAGGTTACATGCATTTTAAATGGGACCAGCTGTTCACTTTACCAAAGTGGTAACCAGCGACTTCATGTGCGCACGAAAATCGAGTTTTCGTAATACAGTAGGCATTTGAAACTTTCACCATCTGTAGAAAACAGCTAGCTGTACAGATGCTACGAGTTTTTTTATAAATTTACTGGGAATCCTTATTATTTCCAGCTTTGAAAACACCTATCTCAAAATAAATCTTTTTTTTCTCAATAGCCCCCTATTCTTCAAAAAAGTCGCGGCTTTCAAGATAAATATAGTAGGATATTGAAATTTGCAGCATCTGTAGCAGACACAACGCTCTTTAGATGGTGAAAGTTTTATAGGAATCGCCCATAATCCTTATTTTTTTCCAGCTTGCAAAACACCGATCTTTAAATGAATGCAATTTCTCAACAGCGCTCTTTTCCTTCTGCTCTGTTACTGTGGCATTTTCCCATAACTAATCGAATATTCGCAAATTCGCTGTTAGTTTACATTTTGTGAAAGGAGCTTCAAAATAAGCCACAGTTTAACAAATGCTTGTAATTATTGACAAACGGCTGCAGCTGATGCGAAGTGCGCACAACTGTTTCTGTTTTATGAGACGGTTCTAAAAAGAACGCTTTAAATCGGTAAACGGCTGCAGCTGGATAGATCGCTCGACGGTGTCCGAAGTGCGCACCGCTGTTTCGGTTTTATGAGACGGTTCCAAAAAAAACCGGTTAAATCGGCTAGCTGTAACTACGGTTTCAAGTTACACGTTTGGAACACTGTTATTTTAGCGGTTACGTTAAATACCGACCATCCCTACTATATAAATTCATTCCTTAAAAGGAATGACGCCAATTTTGAATCACCCTGTATGTGACACTACTGCAGAACTTTAGCATAAACTGAAGTTAAGCTTTCCGTTCGCGAGCGCTGCATGAATCTGCTGCGGCTAAAAATGTTCGGCGCCGACGCCGTGTTATTGACGGACGTGCGTCGCGACGTCCCCAGACAGCGCTCTACAAGGACCACTGAGGTGTTGCTAGCGTGCAGCTCACTTGCCCGAGACAGGCGCTGCCGTTGCAGAAAACATCGCATTCAATCGACGATTGGGGTGACCTCCGATAGAAATTCCGATGACTTATAGTTGCTGGATCGGTGCCAGATTTGTGTAAACTCCCAGGGCGACTACAGCTGTAGAAAACAGTGTCTAGAAGGTAACCGGAATAGAATAAAGCTATTAAACAATAAGAGCGCTACTGCCACGCTCTGGCCAGGCCTAAATACATAATTTGTGACTGCATTGACAACAGCTCGGCAATTTCAGAAAACCTAGCAATGCAGAGCAGACGCAGTGATCTGAACCACCCAAATGGAAGCACCCACGACGCAACAACCGCTTCCTCCAACGAAGAGTTCGGAATCAAGCGAACCATGCTCGTTTTGGTGATCGTTGTGGGCTGTTTCGCAGTGGTGTGGCCGAAGATCTTCTACCCCATGCTGGTGAACAGCTCCACGCCGCAGTCGAAGCAAAACGGTAAGCAAACAAGACCAACAACATTCAATCATTTCCGCTTGGCCTCTATATATGTACAGTGGGATGTTGTGACGTCATTTCTGAACTGGATATCGATACCATTAAAATAATGTCCGAACTATGTGGAACCATAATTGAACATGCCGAAGACACAGTCCTTAGCCCGAGGGAAATCGTGTCTCAATGTAAAAAAGCGGTGATTGATAAGTGCGGCATCGACTTATCAGCCGCTCTGTACGACAGAGTCTCTTTGGGGCATTCGACTAAGCAAATTCTTGAAGAGGTGCGCTCCTTGAACGGATCCCTGTGTCTTAAATACTACTTTGGGGTGGCCCCGTGGAAGCTCGGTGTCCCCCGTAGGGTTAACCTGAATTTGGATCCTGCTAATCGTAAGCCATGTGTTTCGGTGTGTTGCTCATCATCAGTCATTGTATATTAGGTTGGCAAGAAAGTGGTTTCGGTTTCGTTATTTGCGAGTTTAAAAGTCCAAACGCTCCCTGGTGGCTAAAATTATATATATATATATATATTGTTTTGTTGACATTGGTGTTTGCATCTAATTCATTCGCCTTCATTTTTGTTACAATTGCAACTGTCACTTTTCGCTTGTTTACCAACTTCCATAGATAGACAAGATTGACAAGTCGCAACTGTCACTCGTTTCGCAGCGCGCCCATCGCTAGTTGAACTCGCGAGTACTAAATTCGCGCTACTAAATTCAAATTCGGGTCATCTAATTCTACCTTAAAGGTTTTCATTGCATTTCACGTTATTGTTTGTTTCTGTGTGTCCATTGATTTGTTTTCACACTAAAACCCAAAATTACTTTCTTGCCAACCCGATATTGTCATTGTCTATACAGGGAAAACCACAGAATGTTGTCACATTCACAGAATACATCATCAGGAAAATCTACCAGGTCTCACTATGAGTGGTTTTGGCTCTAACAACTAATAGCAACTGTTTGCTTCTACTATATGTTTATGTACAGATACAGGGTGAGTTTTTTCGATGACCAGTACAGGGATCTGCGAAACTAGAGCAGTTACGAAGATGGTCAAATTGACAAAGTTTTGAATGCTCTACTCGAAACCAATTTCATTTTTCTAAAATTTGACAGCTGTCAAGAGATATTTGGGAAAAACTAATTTATGATAAATTTTTAAATTTCTCCTAGTTCTGTTGATATTAATTTGACAGGAAAACATTGAATAGAAAGCTTGTAGAAAACTAAATTCCAAGCAAAATAGCGTAAAACATTTCTCCAAAATAACTGTCGTTTTTGACATATGACACAAATTTGAGTTTTTTTAAATGGCAACCATGCTTGATTATTGATTTATGGAATAGAGCATTTTATTACGATTTCTGTGATATATCACATCGTCAGGATTTTTTCGAAAATAAAGTGTCTGCGGACAATTTATACGTTTTCAATTTAGTTGATCTAAGTTAGTCATGGAAAATAGTATAAGACATAGGCATTGTTTCCATGGCAACAAATAAAAACAATATCTTTCAATTTTTGACGTTCAAGATTACATTCAACCTAGAAATATAAGTTAGTTTTGTTGTAAAAATTAATTATTCCAATCAAGAAAAGCGCGACATAGTTGGAACCTACATTAGAAGTGATAAAAATGCTAGACGAGTCTCTGATTACTATTTTGAGAGGTATTTTGACCGTCGCCAACCGTCCTTGAAAACATTCAAATGATTATACGGCAATTTGGGCACTTTTGGAAGTTTTACGCAGCCAAGAAATGAAGATAAAGTAATAAATGAAGCTGTGGAGGTTAATGTCTTGGTCATTGTTAGCCAGAATCCACAGCTTCAACCAGAGAGATCGCAGCAACATCCGGGACTTCCCAAAGCACCGTAATGAGAGTTAAAAAAACACAAATTCCATCCGTATAAATTATCAGTATCCCAAACTTTACATCCAGGGTATGAGGAGCTGCGTATGAATTTTTGTAGATGGTTCCGAAACAAATGCGAAAAAGACGTCCAATTTCCTTATAAAATATTATGGACCGATGAAACTCGATTTACAAATTGTTGTATGTTTTATCGACACAATGAACATCTTTGGAATCAAACAAATCCCCACCACGTTGAGCAAAGGAGACAAGCGATCCACCTCATAGAACAAGGCTTATATCCACCTTCAATGGTAGTCGGTATCTTCAATTCCTTCGGAATAACCCGGATTTTATGTTGGACGACTTAAATTTAGAAACATGGCGTAATGTGCAATGGTTTCAACATGATGACGCTCCTCCGCATAATTTTTCCCAAGTGCGAGATCACCTGGACGTAACATTTCCTGGAGCTTGGATTGGACGAAACGGCCCCATTTTATGGCCACCCCGATCACCGGATCTTTCACCTTTGGATTTCTTTTTGTGGGGAACCGTGAAAAACACAGTTTACCAAAACAAATATTCCAATTTAAATGCACTTAAAGAAGCTGTTAGAGTATTTGAAAATTATGATGGTCGGTCCGCAAGAAAAGCAACTTATTCAGTTTTAAAGCGTTGCAATGTTTGCATTGATAGTAATGGTGGACTTTTTGAAAAGTTTTATTATAAAAATTAAAGCTTCTAGAGTTAAATTTCAATTATTATTGGTATGAATTGATTTTTATAATAAACATTTTAACTGAGCAGCCGTCTTAATTAAAATAAAGTTATTGCCCACTTTAACGTACGTTGTTAAAATAAATACTGAAGCATACTGTTATTATTTGCTACTATGGAAACAATGCTGTATGTCTTATACTATTTTCCATGGCTAACTTCGATCAACCAAATTAAAAGAGTATAAATGGTTCGCAGACACTTTATTTTCGAAAAAAACCTAACGATGTGATATATCACAAAAATCGTAATTAAATGCTCTATTCGGTAAAGCAATAATCAGGTATGGTTGCAATTTAAAAAAACTCAAATGTGTCATATGACAAAAAATGACAGTTATTTCGGAGAAATGTCTTATGCCATTTTGCTTGCAATTCAATTTCGTACAAGTTTTCTATACAGGGTGTTCCGTAAATATGTTAAAACATTTTAACAGCGTGTTCTCCTAGTCATTTTAAAGGGGGGTCTTCCTGAGAATTTTTTAAATTTGAGGTCTCATTTTTGAGATATTTGATCTCCAAAATGACGAAAAATATTAGTTTTTGTTGTTTTTCTTTAAAACGGCTCAACACAGAAACTTCGATGTTGGTATACATTAGGTATAAACTAATTGAGTGCCATTCTATGGTAGTGTTTTGTAGTTCAGTTTACTTTTATACAGGGTAGAAATATGGAACCCCTACTCTTGTTTTGTTCAGAACTTTTTTGTGTGCACCTAAACTATTATCAACATATTTTTTTTAATTACTACAAGTTATTTATCAACGTTTTTATTTTTCCTAAGGGCACTAGTTTGCCCGCAAAAATTAAATCGTTTCGGCTTGATCAAAACTTTCCAAGTCGTTGAATTGGAAGAGGTCAAGAAGCTCCTATAAACTCGCCTCCCAGATCTCCGGATCTAAACGCGCTTGATTTTTGCTTCTGGGCCATTTAAAAAATACGGTGTATTCAACAGAAGTGAATACAATGGAGGAACCTCCGGAAAGAATATTTTATATTTCTAACGAAATGAGAACTTCAGTGCAAACTTTACGGTCTGTAAATGTTTAATTTAATTAAAAGACTGCGATTATCCCAAGAATGTCAAGGTGACCAATTTTAATAGCTGCTAAGTTAACATTAGAATGGTTATTTAAACTTAATTTTGTTTGTTTATATCGTTGCGCATATTGTTATCATGTTATTATTTAATTAAAATTTATTCAAACTTAATAATTTTAATCTGAGCCAAAATACACAATTTAGAAAAACAATTTAGGTTGTTAGGAATTAACTAATAATGCGTACCAAAATTGTTATATGAAAACATTATTAAATTAACTTAATTACTTACACATTTTGAGAACGACAAAGAAAACTATTTTATTTAACAATAAGAGATAAAAAAGTTGATAAATAACTTATAGCAATTAACAAAATTATGCGAGAAAAGTTTGAGTGCACGCAAAAAAGTTCTGAACAAAACAAAAGTAGGGGTTCTACATTTCTACCCTGTATAAAAGTAAACCGAACCACGAAACACTATTATAAAATGACACTCAATTAGTTTATAATGTATAACAAAATTGAAGTTTCTATGTTTAACCGTTTTAAAGGAAAGCAACAAAAACTATTATTTTTCGCCATTTTGGAAATCAAATATCTGAACATCGAAACCTCAAATTAAAAAATTCTCAGGAAGGGGTTATGTTAAAATATTTTAACATATTTACGGAACACCCTGTATAATGTTATCCTGTCAAATTAATATCAACGGAACTAGGAGTAATTTAAAAATTTACCATAAATAAGTTTTTCCCAAACATTTCTGGACAGCTGTCAAATTTTAGAAAAGTAAAAGTGGTTTCGAGAAGGGCATTCAATTCAGAACAATTCTTTGTTCATTTGACCTTTTTTGTAACTGTTCCAGTTCCGAAGATCCCTGTATTAGTCATAGAAAAAAACTCACCCTGTATTGTCCGCTTAGCCATTAAAACAACCCTTTAATTTATATGTAATTTTGTTTATTTGCCAGCTATTAAACAGGAAAGGCCTTCAATGGTGAATCCAGTAAAATTACATCCGGCCTTAAAGGAAAGGGGCCGAGCTATTTATGGGGCAGACCAAGTGACCACTGAGGCGAGGAGGAAGAGGCCAGCACCTATTATAGTGGAAGGAAGAGTAAGCGCGCTATGTATATGTAGATGTAACGTTTTAGCCTTCAAATTCTCTAGTTTAATCTAAACTAGTCTGCTGGTTACACGCACGAATTTCCACTAATTTTGGAACTGGATAACTGGAGAGGTATAAAGAAAACAACTTTTTGGTCTTGCAAGGTAAATTTTTCGGTGATTTGAACCCATTTTTATTTCAAATATGAGATTCGTGTTGAAGCTGAAACCTTACTTAGTTGAAAATCTTCTAGAACACTAAATTTCGAGGGCAATTGTGATTTGGGCAACCCTGTATATGGAATTGTCGTGTTAAATTGTCTGTGAAGCTTTAGCTTCAACAAGAGCTCTGGATCGTGAAAAACGGACCAGGAGCAGAAAGTTATCGCCGCAAGTCAAAAAGTTAATTTTCGAGACCACCCTGTAAGCAAAGGAGATGACGAAAAAAAAATAAAAATGGTTTCAAGCCGGTTGTTTATTCTTTAAAATTTTGCGGTCGGAACTTTATTTTTGTTCAACTAGGAGCGTGACAACTTTCCGAAATTTTGCATTTCTCCATTTGGCACCATGTAAAAAATTTATATGAGGTGCTCAGTTTCTACCGAAACGTTGACGAATACCCAACAGATGGGACTCAATAGCGCTTCAAACAGACAGCAAATCGCTTGAGGCAATCAGAATTGATCCAGATCCAAAGTTAAGGCAAATTTAGCTGTGTAATTTTTTTGAGCAGTTTGGCTATATAGGGTGAGTCAGTTTATAGTAGCGGGACTTTAACGGTCGATAGAAAATAAAATTTAAGATGAAAATATCTTGAAAATGGCTGCGTTTTTGAGATACAGGGTGGGAAAGTTAACATTTTATTTTAATTTCCTTAATAATTAATAATTAGTATCTGAAGATTTGCATGAATTGGGAATTTGGAAAAAAGTAAAATTAAATTCTAACTTTGTATTCCTACCACTCTGTATTTCAAAAACAAAACCGTTTTCGAGATATGTTTGTATGATATTTTCATCTTAATATTGAATTATCTATCGACCGTTAAAGCCTGCTACTATGAACTGATTCACCCTGTATATTATATAGACCCAGTGCTGCCATACTAGAGAATTTTTCGCTAATTCTAAAGATTTTTCTCAGGCAAAAGGAAAACTGGATTTGTTATAATTATCTAGGGATTTTAAAAAAATTTCGTTTATCTCTACAAAAGTTAATTCTCGGAAGGAAATATTAATAAATCGGACTACAGAAGGCCAACAAGTCTAGAGTAGTGATGCCATACTGGGGAATTTTTCCCTAGTTCTAGGGATTTTTCTCAGTCAAATGGCGAAAGGGATTTGATATAACTATATAGGGATTTTTAAAAATTTTCGTTTACTTGCAATAAAAATAATTCTCGGAAGAAAATATTATTATACCGGACTACAGAAGGAAAACAAGTAGAGAGCAGTGATGCCATTCTAGAGATTTTTTCAGGCTAAAGGAAAAAGGGATTTGTTATAATTATCTAGAATTTTTAAAATTTTTCGTTCATCTGCAAAAAAATAATTCTCTCAAGAAAATATTAATATATCGGACTACAGAAGGCTAACAAGTAGAGAGCAGTGATGTCATACTAGGGAATTTTTCCCTAGTTCTGGGGAGTTTTCTCATGCAAAAGGAAAAAGGGATTTGTTATAATTACCTAGGGTTTTTACATTTTTTCGTTTATGTGCAAAAAAAATAATTCCCGGAAGAAAATATTAATAAATCGGACTACAGAAGGCCAACAAGTCGAGAGCAGCGATGCCATTCTAGGGAATTTTTTTCTAGTTGTAAGGATTTTTCTCATGTAAAAGGAAAAAAGAAATAGGGAGGAATTTGTTATTATCTAGGAATTTTTAAAATTTTTCGTTTATCTATAAAAAAATTAATTTCGGGAAGAAAATATTAAATAATATTAATATACAGTCAGTGGGATTTACAACTGCCCCATATCCACTTTGTCATATACCTATTTAAATTAAAGGTTGAATTTAAAAGAATAAATAAGAAGAATACAAATTGACGCAAAATTATGAGTTACATTTTTTAAATTTCGTAATATATCGTTACCAATAACCTTTTTTGCTTTACTTATCGTTTTTAATTAAACATATTGATTTTGAAAATCTAAGGAAAACTAGGAAGCAACCATCTAGGGATTTTAATTTTACCGATCTGGCATCACTGTGTATGGGACAAGAAGAAGATAGCGGTATGAATGCCGCTGGAAAAAATTAAATAATTGAAAATAAGCACTCCTAGCAGCCTTCACTACCCACAAAGATTCATTAAAATTTACAAAATGTTTTGCAGAAATCGATAATTTTGCATTTTTAGGAAAAGTTTGACGCTCGTTCGAAAACGAAGCTTTTGCCCATGTATATTTTTGGATTTTTCTTCACATTTGGCCAAGGACTTTTTACCCCTGAATTTACACCCTGAATGGTTTGTAGATCTTCAAACAGCAGCAGGAAAGCATATATTTTAATTTGCGCGTCACAAAAAGTGATTGCAAATAATTTCGCTGCCATCTAATTATAGGATTCGATTGATTTGTAATTTTTGCCTGCTAAAAATATCGTTTTATAATGTGTGATTGAACAATAAAATCGAATGCGATCTTACAATCACCAACATCAATTTTATTGGTTTTCAGCCTGGCCCGATCCCAGGCAGAAGACCGACTATTGGTTTGCCAGGCGAAATTGCTCCGTCCAAGATTTCGAACTACGGTCTGATGGGTGTGCTAATGCCCATTTACACCATCGCCTTTATAATTTTCTTTACCTACATAGTGAAAAAGGTAAGTGGTGTTGCTTTGTATATAACAAATGTCCAGGGTGTCCCAACAACAACAAATTGAACGTTACAAGTCAGGGCCTAACTGCTCTGACGTCACGAGTAGGCGGAGCCAAGCCGGAAGACACAACAATATACAACTAGAGTAGGTTCTTATGGCGCAGCCGAGTCGTGACTTGCGGTGGTGCCGGCTTCACTCGGTTCACACATCTACAATTGCTCTATCGTTGGGACACTCTTGATGTATCATATTTTTGCTTTGAAGGACTAAAACCGTTTTTTTTTTCAGATAGTGTACAAGAAAAAGCCGATAAATTACGTGGGATCGCCTCTATATCCTCCATGTGACTCTGACGAACAATTTGAAGAGCAAGTTTTCCAAGCAAACCCGCATTATTTTAACAGACCTAACAAAGACACGAGTAAAATAGGTAAGAATATTTTTGCTCGCAATTTGTGATATACCGACAATTTTATTTGACACTGATGCGCTCAGGATGGAAAGAACGCGATACAAGTAAGTCTCGCCTTTGTAAATCACATGTTTAACACCTGTAGATATTTGGAAATATTCTCTATTCTCATACGGACATATACAGGGTGATTTTTTCGATTCACATCCCCTGTTTGATGTGGATGATTAGCGATTATTATGGCATTTCAACTGTTTCACTTTGATTTGTTTTCAATGTAAAGCCGGGGGAGAGTTTACATTGTTTTACACCTCGATTCCGATATCTTCTAGTATGCCACATGCTTTTATCCATTATTGCCTATTTTAGCCTCCATCGGCTGATAATGAAATTTGATTAGCTGCTAAGTAAGTAATGAAAAACTGATCTTTTCCATACGCCCGCAGGAGACATTGAGCTGGACCAGCTGCGCAAACGGTTGCGTGAAACTGAGCTGGCAATGGAGCGTATCGTTTCTCAGATGGCGCAGGTTCCGCTCACCACGCAGGTGTGCAGCTTCAAATTCACGCAGCATGTCGCTTTCACGCTTGATTCATTTGCTCCCCCCGGCACTATGTCGATTTTAAGCTATGAGAAGAATGGCAGAAATGGTTTTTTACAACGGTTTCTCATAGCGAAAAAATCGTAGTAGACTCATGCTTCAGCTTGTTGAGGTTTTATGTAGTTTAGATTATTGCCAGTATATCAGATCTTTTCAAGGTAAGCTCTGAATGAGGGAAATAGACTAAACGGTTAATGAAACAAATGGTGACATTTCGCACTTGTTCGTAGTTGTTAACGCGGTCGCCGCTCTCTTGGAAGAGGTCAATCAAGCAGTCGAGGAGCACAAGAACAAATTGCCCTCAGGCACATCTAATGAGCAGGTCTGATCATTTTAGTTTTCCTAGTTCAGCTACTGCTTGTTGTATCTAATATGAGTTGTAGTTACAGCCGCCGCTACCCCAGGACACATGAGTTGTTATTTTCCGCTTATGCACTGGCTAATTTTAAATTGAGCCGCATCTGCTTTTAGAAACCAGAATCATGCGGTTACTTTCTTGGCCGATTTCCCATATTCTTTTTTGTCTTGAGCCAGCCATTCATTTTCCATGCCAGCAACAATAATCATCATTTTATCGATTATTATCAAAAATTATACCAAAATTACCCTACAAATTGACAAGTATATAACGTGGATACAGGGTGTTCGGAAAAAGCGTCAAAAAATGTCTAATTCAATTTCTTAATAATATTTCTTTCAATAATTTTTCAATTCCAATTTCATTTTCAATCAATTTGAAAAACAGTACAGGGTTTTATTATAGTGATATGTAACTATCTCATAAAAAAATTATCCACTTTGCCACTAGATGGCAGTTTTCCTGTAATGTAAACTTAATTTTCCGCATATCTTTTTTGAAACGACCAACTACAGTGACTGTATAAAACATGTATCTATAATGTATGACAATAAACATGCATGATGTATAAAGGCGCTGTACGCCAAACGAAGATGCATCCAAAAAACACTGGTCCACAGACTACACACTATTATATCCACAAGGACGGCCCACAGACTACACACTACTATAACGGGTGTTCGGAAAATGGTTTAGGAAATTTGTCAGGGCGATTCTACATGCTAAAATAATGGTAGTCAGTCTGGTAACAAAAGTTCGAAATCTTAATATTTCCCGAGTTACAGCGCATCAAACAATTTTTTTTCTTGTTTTTTTTTACCTGTTCTGAACATTTCTCCGCGGATCAAATTGAAAATCGGTACACAGTTTTACCATAGTGATCTCTAACTTTTTGATAAAAAATTGTTTTTCCATTTTGCCACTAGATGACACTTTACCTGAAATCCAAATTTAATTTTCCGCAACTTACGAACTTACACAATAATTGCAGCAAAGGTTTCTTTAAAGGCAGGTGGAATCAGTAAACTGAAATATTTTTTGACTCTTGAAAAATGTAGTGAAAAAATTCGCGCAAATTAAAAAGAAACGTCCAAAATTCCGCAATGGATTCCGACAAAGCTTTTTACTGGATTCTGTTGAAATTTACCGAGCAAATAAGGAAACGCTCGTTTTCAAAGGCTTTAGAAGCTACAAGCTCAAACCTCATCTGGTTACTGAGAACCGTTTTTTCAAAATTGTACTGTAAAAACGTGGCAAATTAAAAATACTGGCAGTTTTGCAATAGATTTCGAAGACCGCTTTTTCAATAATTAGCATAAAGCTTCCCTTAAACGATGCTAGACACCGCAGGCTCAACACTCATCCACTTCTTGAAAATCGCTTTTTGAATATTGTAGTGCTAAAACTGTGCAAATTGTGAAAACTGAGTGAAGATCCACTCTAGATTCCTTAAATTCTTTCCACTGCATTTTGCTTCCAATTATCCAAAAGTTAAGGTAAAGCCTCCTTTACATTAAGGTGAAAGCAGCAAACTGAAATATTTTCTGGTTGTTGAGAAACATCTTCTTGGAAAATGTAGTGGAAAAACAATGCAAAGTGGAAAACCTGTTATAGTTCCACACTAGATTCCGAAAAAGTGTTAAGTTGATTACGCCTAAATTTCCACAATACATAACGTCGAGCCTCCTCTAAAATGTTACTTTCTCCAAGAAATAGCCTCTTGAAAGGTGTAGTAAAAAACCAGGATAAAGCAAGAAATCTGCGCAAAGTTTCACTATTTTATGCTGAAATTTACACGTAAAGAAGGCTGAAGATTTGGTTTTCGAAAAAATTACCCCTTGGACCATGTAATGCAAAAACAGTGAACACTTGAGCCAAAAACTCGTCAAACAATTAGAGAAAAAATCACAATGATTCGTTCAAATATGTACGAATGATTTCGGATCTGATCAATAAAATTGGATCATTAGCTCCGTTTCCCTCGATTTCTGACGAACGCATCCAAAGGACGCCGGCCCCCAGACTACACACTATTATACCCACAAGGACGGCCCACAGACTACACACTATGATAAAGGGTGTTCGGAAAATGCGTCCGGAAAATTTTCAGGGTGATTCTACATGCTCAAATAATGGTCGTAAGTCATGTTACAAAACTTCGAAATCTTAATATTTTCCGAGTTACAGCGCATGAAACAATTTTTTTCCTCGTTTTTTTACTTATTCTGAACATTTCTCCGCGGATCAAATTGAAAATCGGTACACAGTTTTACCATAGTGATCTCTAACTTTTTGATGAAAATTATTTTTCCACTTTGCCATTAGCTGGCACTTTGCTTGAAATCCAAATTTAATTTTCTGTATATCTTTTTTGGCACGCCAAATATCGCAAAAAGTAATGTGCGATTTAAAAATTATTGTTTTACTGTTCACTGCAGACTAAATTTTTGTGCTCTAAAACCACTAAAATATAGTGGATCGAGAATAATCAAATGTTGCAGGCAAATGCATCACAAAAATGTATTCTATATTGAACAGTAATATAATAATTACTTTGTACGAATTTTCAATTTGATCCGCCAAGAAAGATTCAGAACAGGTCCAGAAAAAGGAAAAAAATAGTTTGATGCGCTGCAACTCAGAAAATATAAAGAATTCGAATTTTTGTTACATGACTTATTTTAGCATGTAAAATCACCGTTCCTAACGCATTTTCCGAACACCCTTGTGAGTTATAGCAAAATAATGAACCGAATCATACGAGATCAGAAAACTAATGAATTATGATTTAAAATTGTTATCATCAAGCATGCAACCCAATCAAGTAGTTGCCTGATTCATTATAATGATATTGAACCGCTTTGACGCGCAAGTTGAAAATTCCCATTCAGAGCTGAAATCGTTTTTGTTGAAAATTGCCCAATTGATGTTTGCAGGACGTCGTCAAAATGAACGGTGTCCTTCCGAAGGATGAGGAGCAAAGTTCAGTCACCGTTCTGGGAATGGAGACTCGCGCTTCTTGCGAAAACGGAGGAAAATGGTCCAGACCAGATTCGCCAGTGATTCACTCTTCTGAACCTGCAGTAGCCATCGATCACTCTCCCTCACCTCAGGTAGAAATGGGCTGCGCTAGTTTCGTTCTGAGATAGTGACAAGATAATGAAAAATCCTCATTTTTCAGCAAATATTCTTGGAAGGTTCGCTGCCTCCGCAGTCTCAAATTTTAGTGGCCGACTCCGCTACGGAGGCGCAAACCGATGCAGACGACAATTCCTCCGTTATTTTGGCTGGCAAAATGACGCTGAGTGTTATCAGTTTAGACTCCGGTAAGTACAAGGATTAGCACCCAGTTGGGCACAATGTTACTTAATGTATTCTACCCAGTTCTACGTTTTGAATTGTTTCTGGAACAAATTAGTTAAGCAAATGGTCCCAATGTTGTAAACGACGTATTCTAGTTGTAATAAAATAATGTAAAGATTCCAGATGCATTATTTTGAAATGCCCCTCTCTTCAAAAGTGATAGCTGCAAAGGTATGTCTTATACCCTTATTTACTGTCCCGCTGTTTGTTAAAAAAATCAAGTCAAAACACCCTCTTGATTGTCACTAATACTTCCAACTTAGATGTTTGATTCATGATCATTTTACCCCAATCATTTACATTCAGTGCCGACAGCATTTTTCAAATTTCTACACGTTTCAAAATGAGACCACTCATTCTCCTCTTGCAGAACCCGGAAATGAGGAGTCGTCGAATATCCTGCCGAAAAACGAAAGCTCAGACGAAGAGGGAAGAACCAGCAGCAGCAACATTTCGGAGGAATTCGAGAAGATCTACGCTTCTGACGTGGAGGATCATATCAACAACATCATCGAAGAAGCTGAAAATGCGGTTCTGGCTGAGAAAACTGGGTAAACATTCCTAAAAAAATCTGCTTCAGCTAGTATTTAATTTCAGTATTTCTAACACTAGAGATGACTTCGGCCCAGTTCCATTAAAAACAACCACATTCAGCGGCATTCTAGATGAAATGAGAAAGGAGTTCAACTTGGTAGAGGATTTACTTCAATCAAGTGGCAGCGAAGCAAAACCGCCTGTAAGCCCAATCGCTGAAGACTTGCTGGATCTCGAGGAACGATTGAATGGAACCGATGACAGTATTGAAGAAGCAGAAATTGGAGCCACAGACGACGATGCAACTTTAACAACTCAGGAAAATATATCTGGAAATCTACAGTTTTCTTTTATACTAGACCAGCCAGCATTGGAGGTAATTGGTGATTCGAAAGGACGGGATGAAGCTGAAGAGATAAGCGTTTGTCCGAAGGCAGTAGAACATGAAGGCATGAAAAGAAGTTCTGAAGAAATCGACATTCGACAGCAATTGACTGGCAATGAAAATGAAGAGCCAAACGATCTCGATGAAACTAAACCTGGGACTCAAAAGGAAAACGAAGATTTCATCCGAGAAGAAAAGAAGGGCACAATGGATCCAGGGTCTGGTTTGAGAACTAGTATTGAGCGAGAGAAAAATATTGAGAGCGCGATTTCAAATAAAATTTCTCAGGTTGACCAACACGAGGAAAGACCAAATAAATTGACTGAGTATGTGGCAAACTCTGAAGACGAAGCGGAGAGCATTGTTGAAATCAATGAGAATGAAAACCAATTAAAATTTAAGAAAAATTAATTAATTAAATTTTATTTTCCTATGATTACGTAGATATCGAAATCAAGGCTTTTAGATCCGACTGTTCCGTTTTCAATATTTTTAAGGTATGCATTCGATAATGGAGAAATTGTGCTTCATGAATCCGATATTACGAATTTATTTCACTATACGATTCAGAAATAAATTAATTTAAATGGAAATTTTTTGTGATTTGCACCCACTATCGCTCAAGGACGAGGATTTTCACAAGGAAACATGTTATAAATGATTGACTTTAAGCGGTATTATTACTTTGCACACTTGGGTACTACTCGAGACGCGCGTGAATTTCCGTTCTTCAATTCTTCCTAGAACAGAAGACACGTTCAATGATGAAAATTTGAATCAGGTCGAAGCGAATGTTGATTTTTAATAAAGCATCGAAGATCGAGCTGCAAATCGGCCCGATCTCTAAATCACTAAATCAATTTCGCAGTTAAAATTTCTAAGCCTTCTAGAAGACACTTCAAGGAATAATTTGTGAAAAATTTAAGCAGATCACAGTAAAGGCTAATTTTTTAAATTAATCGAAGATTGAGCTACAAATCGGCTCTATCTTCTCTACTTCTTCTTCTGGAAGAAGTTGTCAGTTCGCATAAAGTCCTTTTAGAGGTCGGTCGTTTTTTAAAAGCATTTAAGCATAATTTAAAAGCATAATTAAGGCAGTCAAATGTTCTTAATTATCAAGTCAGTATATAACTGTTAATAATGAATGATTTGAACCAGTGAGCTTGGAGTTGGTTTATGAAAAAATATAAAAATCCAATAGGCCAACCATGAAGACCAGAAGAGTTGACGATGTATCAATGGCCTCAACTTCGCTTCTTCATGGTAAGTATTCTGAGGGTGTCCCTGTCAAGTCAACTGCGCACAACAGAATATATCAGCCTGACAGTTCAACATTATTGGTTAGAAAACTCTGAGTAAACAACAGATCTAGAAGATACAAGTGTTTTTCTACTTTAACTACTTTAAATAGATTCTTTGACGAGATGAATAAGATCAGAAGCACAATGGAGCAAACCGAAATTGAAGTGATAAGTTCCACACAAAGCAAATCGGAAAATATCGGCTCTTTTGGCGAACATGGAAATGCAGCTGATTCAGCAGCGCTACCGAATAATTCGCAGTAAGTGCACCTTATTGGTTTAACGTTTACTTTGAGAGTACAGAAAGGGGTATTTTTAGAACGAATAGTGGGTTTGATTTGCCGTCGTTTAATTGTTCAGAATGCTCGTACAACAGTATTTGGAAGCATGCAGTTAAAAGGCATCAGAGGACGCATTTTCGAAAGGAAAAGTATGCAAAGAGTGGCAAAAAAGTTAAGCTGGCTTGCACGCATTGCATGTACACATCAGATAACTGGTAAAAAATTACAGTCCTAGTTAGCATTGGTGCTGGATAATGCTGGCTCTTTTAGGGCCGATTTTTTAGATCATCAAACATCACATATAACATCAGAAGATGGAAATCTTAGATTTAATTTAGAACATAAGCATGATGAAGAAGATGATGATGATGATGATGATGATGATGATGATGAACAAAAATTGATTATAGCTTGTCCCTATAAATGCGACAAATGCCAATTTGAATCCTTGGACAAGAGTACTTTTGAAGAACATAAGAATGCGACCCACGGTACAACACTAAAGTGCCCACACTGCAGTTATATTTCCAGGAAAAAAAATGCTCTATCTAAGCATATCCGGACAGCGCATCAAGAAATTCCCTCTGAACCATCGAGTGAAAAAGCTGCTGGTATGTTAAGCTTAAATATTGGTAACTCAACCCTGAATTAAAATGGCTTTTAGTCCCAACCAAGGTAGATGGCACAAAGGGTTCTAAACGACCATACAGACGGGGAATATATGCACATGTGCCTGTGAAAACGACAGGAAACGGCTTGTTTGAATGCGAGCACTGCTCCTACCAGACAGCAATTAGGACGGCGCTTGTAAAACATCAAACAAAACATTCTAAAGTTTAGCAAATCTGTATCCAATGACCAGAACCATGTTTCCTAGGTAAAGGGCCATATTATTTAATGTTAAATGCTGTTATAACTACTATAATTTTATTTTATGCTTGTAGAATCTTAAGAGATTGTTGTGAGAACTGGATAGATTTGCAATCTTATAGCAACTAAAGCGGACTGTTATTTTGCCTGTATTGGAACCCATATATATATTTTATTTATTTCTTTATCTGTTATAGATTAAAACGTGAACAAGTTTAGTTAATTGTTGTATTTGCTTGTCCAACGAAGTTCCCCAATAACACCCACAGATCGCACTCCATTCTGATCTGCGATAAGTACAATCGACTTGAATTGTTCGTTTGTGATTGGCTCTGATCCTTGATAAAGCATAAACTTTTTACACAGCTCAGATCATCCCCAGCTCCAAATCCCTAACACGAATTGTTGGGCAAAAACATTTTTTTTGAAAGTGAGAAAACAAGGCGAAATATAAATGGTTGACCCAAATCATTCACAACCTCTTAAGGCGCTATGCGTCAGGGCAAAGTAATGCAAAACTTACCGAAAAGTGCATCATGCCACCTGGAAAGGAAGAAAAACTATTCTGTAGTATAACAGAATTTTAGTCAACTCAATAAAACCAGTTGGTTTACGGAAAGCTCCTCAGTTCAAAATAAAGGATTTAAGATTAGAAATCATTCTTACCAGGTTTCTGCAAGCTGGCGCCCCATCATCCATTTTTTTACATATCAATCCTCAAAAAGCACACTACATTTGAACGCACAATGAACTTCCGCAGGAAGTTGAAAATCAATGTGGATTAAATATGCCGCACTTAACCGACGATCTACCGCACTTGCCTAAGAGGCACCAAATCGGTCCATATTTTCCGTTCATGAACAATTGTTCTGAATTGTTCTTTAAAGAACCATCGACCAATTTCGTCCGTCGCCCATAATAAACTGAACTAAAAAGCTGAATAGCTTTTACCCATAATAAACAGAACTTACATAATGACATAATCGTTTGCTTGCTCGCCCTTCGCATGACTCATTGCTTGGCATTTCCAATTGTCGATTTCACTGGTTTGGATTTTTGCCGCCAACTAAGTAGCTTTCTCATCCAAAGATAAACAAACATTGCCGTTCAGGCGGCTACTTTTGAATGCACAATTAAATGTTCTTTTGTTCAAGTTCCATAAAACTTTGCGTTGCTTCATCAGCTTGCGATATGTTAGAGACGGCGCAATTATAAGCGGATTCAAACGTAGTCACCAAAATCAAAGGAAAGCATTCACAAGCTATCCCATGATAAAGCAAGAATTATTTCCTCTAGAGTTGAGCAAGAAATCACTACCTGTGATTTTCTCACAGTGATTAGTAAATCCTATTCACGATCTGTGACGAACGTTAAAATAAACAGTGATTTAAAACGTGATGCACCATTCATTAGCCGTATTCTGATTGTGCCAATACACAATCTGTTGCGACGGAAAACTGCTTTTTTGTGGAAAAAACAATAGTTTTTTATTCCTATTTTAATTTTTTCACAGAATGTTTTAAGAATTTTTAGAGTACATAGGCTTACAAAATGTGTAGCCTATGTACTCATTTGTCCGTTAAGTATACAATGTATGTATATATATACATACGTATGTATTTGTTGTATACCTAAATAAAGTTTAATTTTTTTATTTAAAAAAATGTGAATTAGAAATGTTTTAAAATTAATTTTTTTGGATGAATCTAAAAGTGCCATTTTTCGATCAGAAGCGATAATTAAAAAGAAGCACTTTTCTTTACTGTTCATTTGTTTTACTTTTACGCACGGACTTTCACGCACATGTGCGCAAAAGTAAATCTGACAAATTGGACGTGCCACTGTCAGAAAATATTTTGAAGTATTTTCATTAAAAAGTAAACGACAGGTTTTTTTTAACGAATTACGTAGGTTTATAGAGAACTATTGATAATGATTTAAAGTTTACTTACAATTTGTAAATTATAACTTTGTTACAAGTTCAGTCTCACAAGTCGTTCAAATAGCCTATTTTTTGCACTCGCCGATGTTGCCACAAGCAAAACACGGTTTTTTTAAAGATCGCAAATTTTATGCAAAATATGCATCTTATACAAACACCATACCGTGAAAGTAGCGCTTGAATTTTCGACACTCATTGTTTCACTAGCATATGCTTACAGAAGTACGCTTTTGAAAAATTACAAACGTCAAAACATGACAATTTCAAAAATGGCATTGGCATCGAATTTTAAATATGAAGTTGACGGCTTGTATTTTTGGTTATTTTTGTTTATTATAACTTATTATGTCCTTTATTCAAATAAAAAATATTGTTAGATGCGAGGGCAAAAATCTGTTTTTCGAACACCTGACAGGCGTCTGGAGTCGTTCGAAAAACGCCACTTTTCGCCCTTGTATCGAAAACTACTATTCTGCAAGTAACGCACATTTGCCCATCACCTTATGACGCTGCTATATCACAAAAACGGCAACCACAAGTTAAATCATATTCACACGTTAAATTCACAGTTAAAATGGAATCACGTACTTGTCTTCGTCTATGTTCACAGTTATAACAGTATAACCTGACTGATCTTGTTGCAACCACAGATCACAAAGAGATAACCTCCTTGATCTGTGTGTTTATGATGGCTGAACGTAACCTGAAAACTCATGTCGCTCCTGGTAATCTCAATTGCTGCAATTTAAAGTCTTTATTAAGAGAAAACCCAATCCAAAACCATGGCAGAACATATTTCCGGTATGGATCTGTACTTTTTCGGCATAAGTAAGTGGTCTAACTGATCTATTTGCGGCATTTTCTATATTCTGGCTGGCTTCTAGGTGCTTCCAACCGGGATAACATTATTGAGAATGTAAAGAGATTCGGGTCACATATTGAACGCAACGGTATCTTGTACCCCTGGCATCAAATCGAAAAAGATCACTATTTCACCGTAGATTTTAAGACTGCTCTGGATGACAATCTTCTGATGATTGCTTGGTCGTCTTTTCGTGAGGACCTTATAGCTAATACAGAGTTTACATTGAATTGCATGGGACTGGCCATGTATCAGTACATTTCCAGGCTTTATAAAGCCTGTACCCAAAACACAGAAATAGGAAAAACACTTCCAGTGATCAGGGCTCGAATTTTAAATCATGAACCATTGCTGCCGATGAAGGACATTAATGTGAGCTCATTCGGTAACTATCTGCTGTAGTCCTGGCTATGGACAGTCGTTCAAGACTCAATAGGCAAACAAAGCTGAATCAAGTTGTTGTTTCAAGGAAAACTTGTCTCATTGCGAGGCACCGTGGTCAAGGCAGGCCCCGTGAAAATCGTTTGTACCCACATGGCATTTCAATGTCCAGGCTGCGGGTCTGTTCAGGTCGAGAAACAAATTAATGGAACGTATATTCCTCTGCAAAAGTGTACCAAATGCGGTGCCAAACAGAATGTAGAACCTTTATATAATTCGCCATTGAGTAAAACAGTCGAGTCACAGAACATTGTACTGCAGGAAATTGATGTAATTGTCGACAAGTCGCTTACATAAACTGACCAGACTACAAGGGGTTTGATTGCAGTGCGACGTGGCGCGAGTGCCTCAAACCATCGAGTGCGAATTAACCGAAGACCTAGTGAAATGCTGTTTGCCAGGAGATGTAGCCACGATTTCCGGTGTCATAAAGGTTCTAGATCCCAACGATAACAAAAGGAAAAACAAGCAAAACTCCATTTTCAATTTGTATCTGCACACCGTGGCTGTTTACAACAACAGCAATGGAAAAAGTTGCAGTACTACTAGCTCGCACCAGAGAATTAGCTTTACCCATGATGACTACTTGGCCATTAAGGTAAAATTCATTTCAACTGCTAGTAATTTGTCCTAAAGTTTTTGTCTTAATTGGCACATAACGGGTTTCAATATGGGATCATCTTTAAAGATTGTCTCTGGTCTTATGTTTTTCTGCCATAATATTGAGGTCAGTTGTTTGCCTTTGGTTATTCTGCCCTTTGTAGCGTCCTGTTTTCGTCATTTTTATTCCCAGGTATCATCCTTTCTTTTACTTTTTCCCTATTTTTATTCTAGATGTTTCGCATTCGGCTCCTTGTTTTGGTTTTAAATTCTTCCCGATGCTCATTATCACAGTGAAAAACTTCAAACTCTTTTGTAATCGCACATTTTCTTCCACTCGGTCTATCAAAATAGAAAAACAAAAAAAAGGAAATTTTGGGCGATTTTTTAAAGTTTTCCAAAATACCTTTTTGACATCCTGATCTACAGCGGCAGAGACCCTCAACTGGTATTTTTCTTAAGAAAAGTCGCCTTGAGGAAATCGTCAATTTTTCATAGTTTTCCAGCTATTGAACTTGGAAAGTGAAAATTTAAAAACAATCATCATTGCACTACTGCCCCCTTTTTATAGTAACTAACTAAGTTTTTGAGCAGTTAAATGTTGTCTGCGAAGAGAAATCAATGTAGGAAAATATCGTTCTTAAAATTTAAAAATCTGCCTATAACCAATCGAAAAAAAAAATGCAGGTTTTTTGGATTGATTCTTCCTACTGCCGATACTCACGGTAAAACTTTTACACTTTTGTGTCAGGGTACATTTTCTTCCTCTGGCTCGTAAATGAACAACAATTTTCTAAAAAAATCGAATTGCTCAAAATGCCTCAACTCCTATAGGACTGATTTGGATCTGAACCAAAATAATCCACATTTTCCGTCCATTTTAAGCGGTTTTTGAGTAGCTACGATCTTTAACCGATGATATTTTAGATTTGAACGCTTCATGTATGCAAATAGAGGAGCTTCTTAGATCGTAAACAATCCAGTCAGCTTGAGAAACACACATGTAAAATCGTGATTTTGGGATTGAAAAACACCAATTCGCTCAAAATACCTGAAATTCTACATTATTTCCATCAAAATGACGCGAGGAATGTAAAGAGCTCATTGAAAAACTCACTGGAAGCTTCAGATTGAAAATATTTTTGTCCGTTTAAGCGGTTTTTGAGCATTTCAAACCGATGATATCTTTCTTATTTTAGATTTGGGCGCTTTATATATGCATATAGAGGAACGTCTTAGCTCGTAAACAATCCATTCAGCTTAAAAAAGATGTATGTAAAAATGTAATTTTTGATCGAAAATTTCATGAAGGTCAATTTTTTTGAAAATCTCCCAAATTTCTTCAAATCATTCATAATTTACACGAAAAAGACGCTAGGGTTGCGATGAGCACATTGAAACTCACCCTAAAAGCTTCAGATATGAAATAATCGACATTTTTGGCCCATTGTAAGCGGTTTTTGATTAATTACGATTTTTATCCGACGAAATCTTCCTTATTTTGGATTTGAACTCTTAATGTATGCCTATGGAGGAGCTTCTTAGGTCGTAACCAATATGCCCAGCTTGAAAAACACGCATGTAAAATTTTGATTTTCGGTCGAAAAATATCAAGTTTCTCAAATTTCTTCGAATCATTCGGATAATTTCTTCCTGAAGTTCAGAGAAGATGGTTACTGCGCAAATAAAGTGCCATTTTATAAAAAAATTGTTATTTTTTGGTGGCAGGAAATCCATGGCCAGCCACAGCTTTTCCGTTATCTCGTCCAATCGCTTTGTCCGTTGATTTATGGGCACGAAATCGTTAAAGCTGGCTTGCTTTTGGGACTATTTCGAGGCACTAAAGGGGACTGTATACGTTCTGAATCCCATGTTCTGATGGTAGGGGATCCGGGGCTGGGAAAAAGCCAGATGTTGAAAAGTTGCGCCAACGTCTCACCCAGAGGTACGAATAGGATTCATCACGAATATTCCATTTGAGCGCTTTTATTTAATTGTTTAGGTGTTTACGTGTGTGGAAATGTTAGTACTACTTCAGGATTAACTGTGACAATGACTCGCGAATCTGGAGGAGAACATTCCCTAGAAGCGGGAGCGTTAATGATCGCAGATCAAGGATGCTGCTGCATCGATGAGTTCGATAAATTGCCTGCGCAACATGCTGTAAGTTCCAGTGTTTAAGTAAAATTGCCACTCAAATTTGTCCCATTCAGTGCCTTCTAGAGGCGATGGAACAGCAATGCATTAGTATAGCCAAAGCGGGCGTTGTCTGTTCACTCCCCACTAAACCCACCATTTTGGTTGCTGCCAATCCGTCAGGGGGACACTATGATCAGGGAAAGACACTCGAACAAAATCTTAAGCTGAGTTCACCTTTGCTGTCTAGATTCGACCTAATATTTCTTTTGCTGGACCGACCGAATCAGGTACCGAAATTGGCAATGTTTTAACTAAAATGTTACCTAATAAAAATTTCGCTTTATTACAGAACATTGATAAATACTTATCCAAACACATACTGACCTCACATTCGTCCACAAGCAAACATGAAACTCTTCAGGAGTATCGAGAACAGACTACAAACGATTTCAGTCAATCCAAACAGAAATTGAGGTCTAAGAAACATACGCGCAACATCGAACACTTTTTTTACTTTCGATTCTTACAGTGAGCGCTTAAAGTTGAATGGGGAGACACTGAACTATTTATCGCACAAGACTTTTCGAAAATATATTGCTTATGCACAAAAGTACGTGGAACCGCGCTTATCGCAGGAAGCTAAATATGTTTTGACCGAGTTCTATGTGACTCTTAGGAAGCAATTTGCCACTGGAGATTGTACTCCTGTTACAGCAAGGCAGCTGTATTCTTTAATTCGGCTCACTGAGGTAAAATCAACTAGTTTAACGTAGTGTATAAAGTTAAAAGTATATGTATGTCTAGGCCAGAGCTAAAGCGGAATTGCGCGAAGAAGCAACCATTGACGACGCCAAAGACGTGATTGAAATTGTTCAGCATAGCGTTACGGATGTCTTCACAAACGAGGCTGGTGTTCTCGACACCACTCGCTCGGAAATGGGTACCAGGATGAGTTACAAGAAGCAGGTATATTATTACACTATACAGGGTGTCCCGTGGGCATATGATAAAAAGGGTACTGCGATATTCTTTGGATCAAAAGAGGACGACCTGACCTAACTTTTATTAACAAAAAACGTCTGGCTCCTCTGCAATTGATGGTCAAAGTTCTTCAAAAAATTTGTTCTTATGTACGACTCATATTTTGATGAAACAATCGAGTTCAGCCGTTTTGCACAAGTGGTGAATTATTGAGTGTCGTCGTACAAAAACTACCAGAACTTTTTATTGGGTGGATAAAATCAACTCATTTCTTTTGGTTGATGCATTAATCATTTATTCACAATTTTGTGCTCTTTGCAAAATCTTGTAGCGTTCATAGTTTTTGCACAAAAAAATATGTCAAATGAACAAATATGCGCCGCATAAACGCGTACGCTTTCACGCAAGTTGTCTTCGCAAAAGCCTAATACTTTGACCATGTCGGTCACTTCTTCATTAGAAAAGGTAATTCGAAGCAAATTTGTGAGATTGGCATACAATTAATTTATGCCTCGCAACACGATATTTGCAGTTAATGTCTAACATTGTTAAGTGGCAAGAAAACAGTAACATTTTTTGCGCAAAAACTATGAATGCTACAAGATTTTACAAAGAACACAAAATTGGGAATAAATGATTAGTGGATCAACAAAAAAAAAAGAGTTAATTCCATCCACCCAATAAAAAGTTCTGGTAGTTTTTGTACCACGACACTCAAGAATTCACCACTTGTCCAAAACGGATGAACTCAATTGTTTCATCAAAATATGAGTCTTACATATGAACAAATTCACAGCGAGTTTCACCAATACATACACCATCGTACCATTCTCCCGATATTTCAAAAAAGATTAATTTTTTGAAGAACTTTGACCATTAATAGCAGAAGAGCCAGACATTTTTTGTTAATAAAAGTTAGGTCAGATCGCCTTCTTTTGAGCCAAAGAATATCGCAATACCCTTTTGATCATGTGCTTACGGGACACCCTGTATACTTAGCACAGTCTTGTGATTTATTTGTTTTGAATCCTAATGTGCACCTTAACCAATTGATTTTTCGTTTCAGGTCATGAAGTTAGTAGAAATACTACAAAAAAAGTCACAGAGGGAGTCGACTTCTTTGTTCACGATCCAACAGATCCGAGAAGAAGCTCAACGGGAGTGTATTTTAAAAGACAAATTTTCCGATGCACTACACTCATTAAATGTTCAAGGTTATCTGTTGTGTAAAGGCAAAAATTCCTACCAACTGAACTCTGCTTATTTGTAAATGGTGACTAGAAAGTTTCTATGGACAATTTTCTTTGTGTTTGGGCCAGTCTGCGACTTGGCAAGCTCTCGAGCAATACCACGCTGTTTTGCATCTAGAACAGCGTTGAATTGCGCTGTTACCACATTGCTTGCAACTTGCGGCATCCTTGACATCAAACTGCTCCAAAAGATCCGTATTGTACGCATCAGTTAATCTAAACAGTTAATATATTAGTTGTGTTTGAAATTTTCGTCGTGGGCTTTTACTTTTTGGCGACTTCTTGTAACAACTCCCTGTTTTGGGAGAATACAATCCCAACTTGCTGTTTGGCGATCTTTTTCCAGCTACTTTTGCACTCTGCTAAAATATTTTCCTTGATTTCCATAATGGTTTCTACTAAAAGAGGTTTAGGTGGGGCTGCGTACTCTTGCAAACTAGTCAACTTGCACAGCCAGTACTAAAATTATAATGATAATAATAATAATTGTTAATAGCCAGATTATTTCGCACCTTCAAGTCTACCAGCGGTGCTAACTGGTCCAGAAGACTGGGCACCATCAAGTGAAGCAGCATACACAATTGAGTGCGTCGACTTTGCGTGATGGAGTAGTAATGCGAGCACTCTGAATCGAGTAAAATAAACCTCAAGGTGAGCCATACCTCAAAAAAGAATCGTCGGTATAATCCTAAAGTGTAGTGTATGTTTTTACTTGAGCTTCTGCTTGAACTAGCTGTTCTTGGTCCCAATTCTTCCACTTGCCTCCAGCAAATTGCTTGCAGCCCTTCACCCAAGGGCGAATCCTCAGGATTTCAGTTAACAATATAGGAACGTCGTGAATGGTGTATATATGACTGCACACAGTTATTGGTAATCTGATATAAGCAAAGCCAGTTTTTCTTTGTTGTTTGCTCAATACTGACTCATACCTGTCGAAATGCTCCGCCAAATATCTCAGGATGGATAAACTGCGGATGCCAATCTCAAAAGACAAGTTGGATCTTTGCCTGAACAGTTCATCTTTGGCAGACTCCTGCTTCCCCTGCTCTTCGTGTTTGAAGTTGAGCAATTGGGAAATTGAACCACACACATAATCCAGAAGGTCAACAGAAGCTTCATCTAACGCTGTAAATTGGAGGAGTTTTGCTTTTTAGCTCAGGGTTATTTAAAAGCTCACTTTCGCAACAGTTCATATGATACACCACCAATTCCAGCAGCGAAACGCACACCCCTTCGTGATAAAGAATCGAGTACGCCAAGAAGGTGCTTTCAGGATCAGGTTTCAGCTTCAACATGTTCGGCAACACTTTGTTTTTCCAGATGTTGATCAGAATGACTTCATGAACCAAACATTTCACCTTAAAACAATCGTGCCTGCTGAACGGTGCTAACTTATTACTGCGAGGCCATTCTTGACTGAAAAACTACCTTTCCGAAGGCTACAAGTGTTTCTTTCACTTGCTCTTCCTTTAAACAGGCGGCTTCCACAGCCGCTTGTTGGTTTAGCTTCTGGACACGATTGTGCCAGTCCACCCAACTGAAAAACTTTGCTGTTTTATTTATCATGACAATCGATAGTTTTACCGTTCTGATCCGATATCTTTGATATTTTGAGGCTCCATCGTCTGCACGAATAATTCGATTTCGTTAGGCAGCAAAACGTCCTCCATGGTGGAACCGAAGCCTTTATTGAAAACAACTCGGTGCTTCTATAGTAACCGTAATCATGCATAGTTTAGTTGCTAGGATATTAGCTGTTGTTTCTTGGCCTACTGTGGTTTGAGGAAATAAAGTTGAAGAAATAAAGTAAATTGCATAGGAAATCAATCATCCATATGAACCGTGTGAGGGAGGTTTTGGACCAAGAACTTTTTATGAAAAATCAGTTTTTTTCATTAATAATAAAAAAAATAAAAAAATAAATAATAAAAAAGCTTCCCATACATGGTGCGAACTTCAGTAGACACACTGTATACAGGGTGTCCCATCGGGAACCGCCGCGAACTTCCGGTTATACCGGAAGTAGGTACCAACTTGCTCATTTTAAATTGAACACCCTGTAAATTATTATATTTTTGAATTCTGCTTCAAATTCTAAATATTATTCATGTATAATATCCTATACCTAAGTCTAACCGTTTTTGATATATTTCAAATGTTATGTAAAAAATGACAGTTGCAGCCACTCGAATAAGTATTCATTTTTCCTATAAGGGTGGTCTACTTAATTTAAGTCGCATTTATTGCTGAAAAGGACTTACTTTAATTGAATTTCGACAACATTTTCAAAACTATTAATGCAGTGTTCAAAAAATAAGTTTCAAAATAAAGCTGGGAAAACCGCCCAATATTAATTTTTTCAAATGGAAACCCCCATTTTTGATAATTTTATCTTATTCAGCATAAAAATAGTGTTTAGTTTTCGAATTATGTGTGTTTTCATATGACTATTTTGCCGCATCTCATTTTAAATCCTGTCACTCTTAGTTGCCATGACGACAGTGGCCATTTTTATTGCAATCAAATGCCAAACGATTGCTGACAGCTGTCAGTTACCTTTTGAAAATAATTAATAATCATGCCCGGGCGCTTAAATTATACAAACGAAGACTATTTAAACTTATTTATTATCGTATTATGGAGAATGTGATACAGTTATGTCAAGAACCGTTTATTTATTATTATATCAAGAACACAAATCAGTTTTTTCCTTTAAATCTAGGGGTCCCTAATTTTTCTGGTTGCCCTTATAAATTGAATATACACTGATATTTAGACGTACAAAAAATTCTTGAAATTTTCTATAATTTGTTTAACGGCATAGCGTGAAGGTTTGTATAATTTAAGCGTCTGGGCTTAATTATTAATTATTTTCAACGGTAACTGACAGCTCTAAGCATTCTTTTGGCATTTGATTGTATTGAAAATTGCCACTTTTGTCATGGCAACTAAGAGTGACAGTATTTAAAATAAGATGCGACAAAATTCGGTTTGAAACGCCGCCTGGTGGCAAAAATTATAACCACTTAAGTTAACTAGTAATTTGACACTTGTTTTGTTGACATTGGGGTTTACATCTCATTGTGATTTGTTTTGTTCTAATCAACTTTTGATTTTTGTTTTTTTTATTCAATTTATTCATCCATTCACATTGATTTTTGTTACAATTGCTCTTTTTCTACTATCTTTTTACTCTCACTTTTTGCTTCTTTACCAACTCCAATAGATAGACAGGTCTGACCGGTCTCAACTGTCATTCGGCAACGAGTAATTTGACGTTTTGCAGCGCCCCCATCGCTAGTTGAACTCGCGAATAGTCATATGAAAACATTAAATTGACAATAATTCGAAAACTGAACACTTTTGGAATAGAAAACTTTACACAAACTTACCCTTATTTTTAATACTGAATAGGATAAAATTATGAAAAATAAGAGTTTCCGTTTGAAAAAATTGATTTTGGGCCGTTTTCTCGACGTCATTTTGAAACTTATTTTTTTAACATTTTGTATTCAAAGTTATCAAAATTCTGTCGAAATTCCAGAAAAGTAAGTCCTTTTTAGCAGGAAATGCGACTCTAATTAAGTACTATATTATTATATTATATTCCCTTATAGGAAAAATTAATAATTATTCGAGTGGCTGCAACTATCATTTTTTACATAACATTTCAAATATATCAAAAACGGTTCGACTTAGGTATAGGATATTATACATGAAGTACAGGGTGTCCCGTAAGCTCATGATCAAAAGGGTACTGCGATATTCTTTGGACCAAAAGAAGACGATCTGACCTAACTTTTATTAACAAAAAGTGTCTGACTCCTCTGCTATTGATGGTCAAAGTTCTTCAAACAATTTATCTTTTTTGAAATATTGGGAGAATGGTACGATGCATTTTAGTGAAACTCGCTGTGAATTTGTTCTTTTGTAAGACTCATATTTTGATGAAACAATCGAGTTCGGCCGTTTTGGACAAGTGGTGAATTCTTGAGTGTCGTGGTACAAAAACTACCAGAACTTTTTAGTTGGAGGATGCAATCAACTCATTTTTTTTTAGGTTGATGCACTAATCATTTATTCACAATTTTGTGCTCTCTGTAAAATAACATTCATAGTTTTTTGCGAAAAAAATATTTCTGTTTCCTTGCCACAACAATGTTAGACATTAACTGCAAATACCGTGATACCAGGCATAAAATCATTGTCAATCAATCACAAATTCGTTTTGAATGACCTTTTCTAATGAAGCAGTGACCGACATGGTCAAAGTGTTATAGTTTTGCGAAGACAATTTGCGTGAAAGCGTACGCCTTTACGCGGCGCATATTTGTAGTAAATGTCTAGCATTGCTAAGTGACTAGAAAACAGACATATTTTTTTACGCAAAAACTATGAATGCTACAAGATTTTACAAAGAGCAAAAAATTGAATAAATGATTAGTGCCTCAACCTAAAAAAAATGAGTTGATTTCATCCTTCAACTAAAAAGTTCGGAAAGTTTTTGTACCACGACACTCAAGAATTCACCACTTGTCCAAAACGGCTGAACTCGATTGTTTGATAGAAATATGAGTCTTGCAAAAGAACAAATTCACAGCGAGTTTCACTAAAATACATCGTACTATTCTCCCGATATTTCAAAAAAGGGAATTTTTTTGAAGAACTTTGACCATTAATAGCAGAAGAGCCAGACATTTTTTGTTAATAAAAGTTAGATCAGGTCGTCTTCTTTTGGTCCTAAGAATATCGCAGTACCCTTTTGATCATGAGCTTACGGGACACCCTGTATATTTGGAATTTGGAGTAGAATTAAAAAATGTAAAAATATATAGGGTGTTCCATTTAAAATAAGCAAGTTGGTACCTACTTCCGGCATAACCGGAAGCGTGGCCACGTTGAGAATATTTTAAATCGCTTGCCCCCAATGACTTCGGCACACTGTCCATTTTTCAAATATCTCCTAATTATAGTTTGCCAGATATCGATCGCGACGATGCCCGGTGCGACACCCTGTATTTGACCAAGGTAAGCGCAAGAAGACGTAAATAATGGCTGAGTTTTCCATTATTACTTGCGTATCATCAGGTGAAACGAGACAAGCGTGGAATGAATTTCAATTCGATTTAATATTGTTCTAATAAGCCAATGGCTATGGAAACATCAGCAACGAAAGTGACCAACACTAATTGAAGTGCGAAAATAATATTAACGCGTATATGGAGTTCGACCGCAAACGTTGGCGGTAAGTGAATTACTAAACACCACTATTTTTGTTGTTTTCATCACCGACAAATTCATTACTCGATTCGCTTTTTGTGCAATTGGATGGGCGATAAAAAAAATGTAACTGCTTTTGGTTGCAATGCATCACTAATCAACTTCCAATCGCCAAATTGATACAACTATGTTTACTTTAGGTACACTCATTTTCGTACGATAAGATAAGGAGTCATTGTGTTATCTTCTTAAATACATGACAGCAATAATTGCTGGGCGGTTTACTTCTCTGGTCGCAGTTAACTAAAACTTGTGCTCTGTATTCTATTTGCGATTTACAGCTTTCCATTAGAGGATACAGAACGAGCGGTTTCTCATTATATTCGAACATGTTTCATGTAATTAGTAGGTAATTTGTAAAGGTATGTACGTACCTACATGTCTGATTCATTGTGAGTGTTGTTCAACTGAAAGAGCATCTTCGAGCCTTGCATAGGTTTAGTTCAAAATAAAATGTAAATTACCTAAATCAATATCATTTTAAACAATTAGTATTATCGCTAAAGCGTTTTATAGGCATTTAGCTAAAATTGTCATTTTTTTAAATATTTTTGCATTAGATAGTCGAACGAGGTTTATTATAGTTCGTGCAATATGAGCGGCAGGATCGGAACGCGAAATCGTTCTGAAGGAGACTTGGTCATCGACAATGTGCTTAGCACCCAATCGGAATTGGGACCCACTATTCCAGATGGCGGGTATGGATGGATTGTTTTTCTCGTCACCTTGTTCTTTCAGGTACGCACTGTTGCAATAGCAATCTCTTTCACTCTGCTTAACTTAACTGACATTGAATATACCGGGTGATTCAAAATTAGTGAAATTCCTTTGGGGGGATGTTTAGGTAGTACAGGAAAAATAGTAAAAAAATAAATTGCCATGGAAAACTGAGATATTCGCAAAAAACTAAATCAGAAAGTCGGCAACAATGTTTCTCAAGGCTATTCCTCGCAACTAGTGGGTTTTTAGGCCGTGATAAAATGGAATTTCTTCCTGACGTTTCGGAACTAATATTTAGCAGAGCTCTGATGGACTCTCCAGACGGAATTAAGGTTAACGGTGTGAACATCAACAGCATCAGATACGCCGACGATACTGTCTTGATAGCAGACTCGGATCTGGGCTTACAACGACTACTCAATGGTGTTCACACGGCTTGCAAAGCATCTGGCATGAAGACAAACATAAATTTTTCTTATCTTTCCTGGGTTTCAGTCAAAGAATGAAGTAACATTTTTTTGAATATCGTTTATTTCATTACGTTTCGGCGAGACAACAGCGCCATCATCAGATTTAAAATTTACACAAACTCATGATTGGTAAAAATCAACGTTCTTTTAGGTTTTTGCCTTCTTGAAAAAGGGCAAAGATCTAAAGGAACGTTGATTTTTACCAATCATGAGTTTGTGTAAATTTTAAATCTGATGATGGCGCTGTTGTCTCGCCGAAACGTAATGAAATAAACGATATTC